GACTTCTTTTCCAAAAAACAAGGCACTTTCACTGACGTTACTGATTTGGAACATGCTCCTCAGGTTGTGAGCTGAACAAAAATAGTCACATCAGGGGTTTTTTTGACCTTGTACGTGAATAAATCCGTCTTTTTTCAGGGGCACCCCCATTCCTGGCAACTGCACAGAGATGAGTGTCTGGGATTGACCCTTCTCTGCTGGTGTTGAACAAGCAAAAAAGTTTGTCTCTCGGTCAAGTCCAGTAGCTCCCGTTGTCTCTTTTCTCCACTGAAGAACTCCACAGATGGAGCGAGGGCTGTACCTGAAAGCAACAGATGTCCTACTGTAACTGCTAAAACCAAGCACCAGCAGCACTAATTTCATGGTGTCTGACTCTGTGTGTGATGACAAGAGGTACACAGTGCACTTTCTCTACTGGTCGCTGTGAGGTGCTTGGATTTTTCTAGTCTAATTGCAGCTTCTCAATAGAAGCTGGCTGCTGTGAAGGATCACAGGGTGACACATGCTGGATGTGCACATCCCCAGAGAACTGGGCTGATCAAAGGGGAATCACTGAACTGCTGAGTTTGCTTCCATAGCTGGTCACAGTGAAACAGATCTGCTTCATAAACCAAAAGTCTAACTATAGCTTAAGTTTCTGAGTAATAAGGTATGTTACAGTTTTTACATGCTTTAGCAACAAAAGGCTGCAGTGGGGAACCTAAGGTTTACCTCAGTCAGATATTTGCTTTGTGTAATGCTCCTAAAGGCCTGTGATATTTGTAATTTCCTAATCTATCTCAGCATCCCAGGGAAAGCTGCAGGAAATTCTGTGGGGAGAGTGGCAAGGCCTGGTGATTGTAGACATCACTACTGGGACAACCCCAGCACCTCAGTAAACAAACTCAAGACAAGGCAGTAAAAAAGGGGTGCTGGTAGGGCACAGGTGAAAGGCAGGAGGCCAGATTTGATTTATGTAGGGTAAATTTGGTTTAGCATGTACAGGTAAATATCTGCTTTGGTAACAACTCCATGCTGATTATTATGCTGCTGCTCTACCAGTTCATGGCCTTCTCGTGCCTTCTAACAGAAACCTAACAGGGAAATATAAAAAGCCCAAAGATGTAAATAACTCCTGCTGTCCCTTTAAACAGAAAAAGCTAAATGAAGTATGAGGCTGATCTTGGAGGGCAATCTGCTTAGATGAGTACAGACTAAACATGGAATAATCCCTGAGGTCTCTCATTTTGTTTGCTGTAGTTTGGGCAGAAAGCAAATGCAGCTAAATTTTTCAAAGCTGTAATGTGCAGGTGGGTCTGTCCTTCTGCCTGCAATAGCAGCCAAGGTGGCTAGTCTGCTTTTCTGTAAAAAGGGTAGGAGGTACAGCTGTTCTCTTTCAAAAACGCTATATTGCTCCTGAATATTTCTGAAATGGTTTTGGGGATGATGGATAATTCTGAATCCACAGCAGCATGTGTGAAGAGGTTGAAAACACAGAAATGCCTTCTGCCTGTCCTGAGAAAAAAAACTTCTTTTTCCTGGCTGTAAATGTGTGTGGTCAGACAGGTCCTCATCTGAGGAGGATTCATTATAATTGGGCTTAATCCTTCCTGAGCAGGAGGAAAAAGTTTAATTGCCTGGGAAGAAGCATTTCTCTGGTCCACAGAGTGTTCAGAGGACTGGGAGAGAATCAGTCAGAATGAGAAGATTGGTTCCTTTTTTACAGGTCTGTTGTGCTTGATTTGTTGGTTATAGCCAATGACAACAGTGAGGTTGTTCTGAGCAGCTTGTAGAAACAACAGAAAGATGGTTTCCTTTCCCTCTATCCCATTCCTAGAGCAGATGCAGCTGGGAGTCTCGAGTGAAGTAGCTTTGCTAAAGCTGTGCTGGTATGGATGGCATGGAAAAATAAAGCATTTTTAATCAGGGTGCATTCCTCTTTGTGAGATCCTTTAAATTCCCTTTTCTGAGATGGGGGAACCTCAAAGAACTGGAAGTAAATCTTCATCTCCTTTGGGGAGACAATAATGGAGAGAATACTTCATTGGAGGTTCCTTTGTGTACTGTCATTGAGCAACCCATTTGGACCTTAATCCCAGGAAAGCATAAACTGGTCTATAATAATTTCCAGTCTCAGGAGCACATGGGTGGTTTATTTACTTATTTATTATTTTTTTTTTTTGAGAATGTGGTAGGCATCAAGTAGGTAACCCCAAGGAATAAGGCTGTATTACAGTAACTAGACTCTAGTCAGCAAGCATAAGGTGGGGAATTGCTCTGAATATCTGGATTACCCTTATAAGTCAAAGTTGTTCTCATAGTACCCTTGTAAATCTGTGTTCTCATAGAGTGAACTCTCTTGGGGAGACAGCTTCCTTTCACAGGGGTTGGGGAACACTGCTAATTTTAAAGCAAGAATTGATACTTGGAAAATAGTAATAAACCTGAGGACTGTAGTCAGTATTGGTGAGCTGATGCTGTGTTAGTAATTAAGTGAATGATCTGAAATGTTCTAGAATGCAAAACTGTTATCTGAAGATGCTCACAAAAGGCTGTCTTGGGTTTGACAAAGAAACTTTTCTGTGGATTCTGTCCCAGAAAGGAAAAAACGTTGCTGTTATCTTTTCAGTTCTGGAGGCTTGCAGAATTACTTAACTGCTGAGTATTTGTTTAAGAACTGATAAGCGTCTCATCCTGTGCCCTTCAAATGGGACTCTCTCCCTTTTGGCTTGCCTGTTTGCAAGCTAATCACTGCTCCCTTTTTTACTGTAATTGGCATGTTTGATCTTAGAGCACTTTGCTTCTATGAGACTTCCTTTGTTGTTGCTGTTATACTTTGCCTTTCTGCAAGTCTTGCTCCAGTGTTGCCAGTTTAAAGGACCTTCTTAAATTAATGTGATGAAGCTCAGTTCTTAGAAAGTAATTATCTCTTAGCTTTATTAATCCCTTATTATGAGTTCCAGGGGCAGCTAAAGGCTTAGACTAGAGTAGCTCTCTGCTATATTGTGCCCGACATGTAAGTCTATGGGGCCTGCACTACTTATTATGTTTACAGTCTAAATAGGTAAAACCAAAACTGGGAAGGAAAACAGACACCCTGTTGTTAAGGCGCTTGACCGAGGTCACAGAGCAGAGCTGTTTGCAGAGTGCCCCAATTCCCTAGAGGCTACTGTCCTAGTCAAACCTATTGAAGCTGTGGAATTGCCTGCCATGTTGCTTCTTGAGAACATTGATGGTGACTAGGTCTGTGTGACCACTTCTCTGATTATCCCCTGGATATATAGTATTAACTTTCACGAGTTACATGGAGAAGATGATGCATGATTATTTGCCACTAGGTTTAAAGAGGTATCTGAGAAGTAGAGAGTGGAAGAGTCTTGACTCCACTTAGAAATGAGATGCAAAGAACTTGCAGGAGAGGCACCAGTGTATATTGGTGCTGCTCACGAATCTTCTAAACTACCTGGCTGGTAAGATTTGTTTGCTTTGCTCAGCATCCCAAAACAATTCTCTGGTTTAATACAGGCATTATGTTTTTATAGAAGATGGGAAGTGTGTTGGCCTGGAGGTGAAGGGGAAGTTCTGCTGCATTTCTGTCATCGAGGTAATGTTACTTTTTCCTGCACCTCTGGTGGGAAGGGAGGGCTCCTGCTACTCCTGTACCAAGTAGGAAATAGTTGTCCATGACAGTTACACTAGTCATGCCCTCCTGTTTTCACTGAAACTAAACCGCAGCAACAGACATCCTTTCCCTTCCCTTAGACAGCTTTTCTGAATTGTGACTTGGATTTTCAAGTCAACTTTTAAGGGTCAACTACACTAGGAGGAGCCCTTCCTCCATTTCATCTCTCCCTGTTCAGCTAGTTCTTTGCTAAACCTTTGTTGCTTTTGTATGGGCTGCTCACTCCCTGTTCAGCTTCCTAAATCCTCTGGACTTCTTTGGGCATGTAAGTTTCCTTCAGGGAATGAATGAAATGCTAATTCCACTCGCCCTTTTTGATACTACAGTCACTGGGCATTTCATGACAGTCAGCTGCTTGAAGTGTTCTGTATTTCACAGCTTCACTGTAGCATTGCTTTTTTAGTACACACAAAACCCCAGCCACGCAGTTCACAACGCACAGGCCTTCAGTAAATGTCCCAGGTAATATTGGTCCATTTTTATTCCCAGCTAGGTTAATTTCTAGACTGTAAAGATTCTGCAGACAACGTGTATGTAATACTAACTTAAGTACTTTCTAGTATAACCTAGAGTGAGTTGGAAAACTCACCCTACAGACATTAGCAAAGTCACGTCAGTCATGTCTGATGACTGATTTTGTTACATTTACGTTGCAGGGCAGTATCTTTTTCAGTCAGAAGGCATTTCTCCCAGAGCTGGCAGCAGGCTGGACGTTTGTAAGCCCTAAATTTGAAGACAAGAGCCGACATTCCAGTATTCTTTACTAACAAATGAATGTGTGCACCGCACTCCTCGTGCTGAAGACTTTGTAGATGCTTTATGTGTGGAAGACGGTAGGGATTATTACGGCAGAGCACGGAAGCGCTGTGAAAAGCATCCCCTGAGGATGCCCGCAATGTTTCCGTGCCTGGAGCGCGTTTATTTACTCCGCTCCCTCAGCCCGACCTGGCGGCTCCCGCCTACGGGGAGGCGCCCACGTTCGCGGGTAAACACCGAACACCCTTTGCCCCCTCCTTCCCCCCCAGACCGCATCTCTTCTGAAGGCGCGGGGGCTGTAGCCGCCATCACCTGCGGCGCCCGCCCGCTCCCACCTTCCCGCCCGCTCCCGGCATGCCCCGCGCGCCCCCGCCTTTCCCGGGTACGGGCGTTGGGGTGGGGATTGGTGGGAGCGGAGCCAATGGCGAGCGCCGGCCTTGCCCGGCGGCCCCGCCTCCCGGCGCCCGCCCGCGGGGAGCCTGTGAAAAAATTCTCAGGTGCGCGGGGGCTCTCTGCTCCCCGGGCGGGCGGGGCGGGCGCGGCCCGGCGGGAGGCCGCGGGGGCGAGGCTGGCCTGCGGCGGGAGCGAGGTTTCGGGTGCCCGCGGAGCTGCCGGGGGGGGGAAAGGGAGGCCGGGCCGGGCCGGGGCTCCGGCTGCGGGCGCAGCCCCCGGGCTCCGGACCGATGGGTCGGACGGGCGCCTGAGTGACCTGAGCTGGGCGGCGGGGTCGTTAAGTTCATCTCCTCACTGGGACGGAGCGGCGGCGTCACCGCCTGCGGGGCCGGGGCCGTATACACGTGTGTGTTTCTGCCCCCCACGCGTGTCCTTACCCACCTGCCCGGGCCGGGGCCGTGATGGTTTCGGTCACGAAAGCAGCGGCCGGGGGTTTGTGCCTGGGCTTTTGTTGGGCTGCAGCAGTGCGCGGTGTACGCACAAACCCAGAAACCGCCATAATGCTCGAGGCAGGGCGTGCGGGCTGTGTGGTAAAAGGTCGTTAATGTAGCTGGTAACTGGAAAGGCGCTGGACTCGGCAAACCTCCCGTTTTCCTCCTGTCTCGAGCGTTTTGTGGAGGGGGCGATCGTCTTGTGAAGGTGCAGAGGCCTGTGCATCTGCAAAAGTTGTAGTTAGTTCACATTATTTAAAAACATTTTTATTTTGCATAAACTTCTGGATAAATAAATACCATGAATATCACCTAAATAATATGTGTGGCAACAGCTACGTGCTCAAACAAACATACAGGTTAGGAAAACATGGGCTTCAGGTGGTACTGAGCTGAACACCATCCTGTGGAGTTTTGTTCAGTAGAGTGGAATGACAAAAAAAAAAAAAAAAAAAGGGACAAATGCTGAGGGCAGAGAAGTGGAGGAGGATTTATAGTGGCAGTGTAATCTTACCTGCTAGGTAAAATAGTCTTAAGGTTTATCTGAAATAATTAGATACTCTTTAAACAGGAATCTCAATAAATACAATTTGCTAAAGTGACTGAATATACTGCAATTGTTGCTGCCTTGGTATTTTTGTTCACTTTTAGAATAAATGTTTACACTGTGGTTCTCATCTTCACCTGATTGGTTTTGGCCTCTGGTTTCTTTTACATTGTTGGCTAAATTAAAGAACTCTTTATTAGCAGTGTTTTGTTTCATAAATTGTTACATAGGATGCTATGAGATGGGTTTGACTAGTTGGACCATCTTGAGTCTTACATGCTAAAGTAAGTTTCCAGCCCTTCAGTCTTTCCAGTGTCTCCTTTATGGGTTCTTCCTGTTCTTTCAACATCTGTCACAAATCCTGGGTCATCAGGAGGGATTATTGTGTTCTAGGGCTAAATACAGTGATTATTCTACTATTCGTGTTTAGGCATCCAAGGGTAACCTTATTTATTTCCAGTGCAGTATAGTGTGAGTTCTTCTTTAGTTCACCACTGAGTAATTTTCAGCTTTCTTATGTCTGTTCTTAAAACAGAAACATCTGTCTTATAAACATTGCTGACTTTTCTGTTCCTGCTGGCATGATCTCATACATGTTCAAATACGAGATAGAATTTTAACATAACTGCTTTTAGAGCAGTAATAGAATTTAGTGCTGCATAGACTTATGTGGGAAGTCTATATCACCTGAGATTTTTATATATATATATATATATACACACACACGTACACACTTTCCTGCTCTTTAGCAGGGAGTGGGTGTAATTGTCTGCATGGTCGTATTTCAGGTATCTTTCAAAAATTTCTTTTTGTTTTCCCTGTAGATTGGGAAGCATGGCTGCTAAAAAATTAAGAAGAGCAAGGTTGTCTCAGGAGCTGTGTGAAAGGCTGAGTCGTTATCAGATCACTACCTGTCAGGTGAAAGGGTTATTTTATGGTTGGGGTGGTGGTGGTTTTGTGGGGTTGGTGTGTGTTGTTATTTTTTTGTGTGTGCGTGTGTTGTGTTTTAATGCATTTGCTGTTTACTTTTTTGTAGTTTCATTTACAAGGAGCTTTACTTTCTATAAAGTAGGGGGCAATTCAGATTCCGTCTGGCCTGCTGCCATGTAAAAATGTAGCTTTAAAACAATAGATGCCAAACTAAAACATTTAAACTTGTATGTACTGACTACCTTGACTTCTAAAGAGCCTGAAGATGCTTTGTTTTAGCAAAGTTGTGCAGCTGCTACTTGTATGGAGTAAGATTGGTTTGTGAACATTTCATGAGAACGCATGTATACTACATAATCTAGTGTATGAACATGCTGTAGTGTTACAGTGTCAATTATGGGTAGATTCAGCAGTAGGTCCTGAAGTTGTTCTTACGAATGCTCGCCTACAGAGAGCCAAGAGGCCCTATATATTTCAGTAGTATGCATCAAAAATACAGGATCTAGCCCTAGGACTGCAATTTAGAAGACATGATGTGTTTTAAATGTTTCTCGTGTAGATAGGAGACACTTGTGGGCAGAAGGATGTTATCTTGTTGCAGTTCCATCACACAGTTCTTGAATGTTTGGTCCTTTGGCCTCACGTGTCCTTTAAAATATGAATACAATTTATTTGAATATACTGGTATCAGAGAAAGGTAGGAGAGGTATAACAGTTGGTAAACCTGTGGAATGTATAGAAGTTGTATATAAATTGTATCAGTTTAGTCCCCAGTGTTGATGTCTAGTTTGACCACTCTGAACTGTTCTACCATCTTTCAGGACTTTTTATGTCTTTCCTTCTTGGAGCTAATGAAGGTGACAGGACAGAGCTACTATGATGTGCAGAAGCTGCTTTGTAAAGTTAGCCAAGCTTGTGCTCCCAAAATGCAGACAGTAAGTATGCTTGTGTTGATTCCGTTTTTGATACGGTATCTGGGAATAAGTTAAACAGTGTCACTCATCTTTTTACCTGGGAGGTTTGTGATGTCTCAGTTTGATTGCACAATGAAATAATACTTTTTTTTTTTAAATTTAGATCTCTGAGGCATTTTAGCTTGATGCAGTGACTTCTGTTAGGCTCAAGAAATTAGAATTGTTGAGCTAGGTAATTACTAGTTTTCCATCAATAACTGTTACTAATAAATTGAAGACAGTTAAAGTTTTACATAGAGTTCTAGTATTTGCTTTTGCCTGTCATCCACACGTCACTATTCAATCAAGTTTCTTTGCTGAGATACTGAAGTTTGTCAGACACCAGTTGTCACGGACTGTTAATACAGAGCCAGCTGATAGTTGCCCAGCTATGTAAGTGCATACAGTACAGAGCTGTACTTCCAGAAACGGAGGGTGCTAGCTGTTTTTAACGATGTGGATTGAATCTTTACAAACACGGGATTTCAAATAGACTTTAGGTCAGACTGACTGATGTAACGTCATGACTGCTGTATCAAGATTTGACAGTATTTTTGAGTAAAAAAATAAATAGATAATAGGAGTTATAAAGACGGGGAAAATACTGTCCAGATAAAACACTGGCAACAAAACTTGAGAGTATGTCAAGATACACAGTAAACCTCTAATTTCTGGAAAACTTACCTTGCAGTACAAAGTACAGAGTGAAGCCTACTGAGCTCATCAGAGAGCAAGTTAGTGAAGGGGTGACTTGCTGAATAGAAAAAGATAATTATATTACAGGTCCCTAGACTCTAGCTGAAGAAAAATCTGAACAAGATCCAGTGGCTGGGAGATAAATTAAAAAATCCTGAAATGGGAAGAAATAAGCAGATCTTTAGAAACTCACATAAGTTCCATTGGAAAAGGTTGTCTGAGGATGTGGTAATTTTTCATTCACTCAGACTCCTGATTTAACAATTGAATTATTTTTATTTTTTTTTTTTACTGAAAGACAGTCTTGTTCAACCGTAATTTTGTGGGTTAAATACAGAAATCGCTGGGTAAAATTTAAAGTCTGTGTTGGGCAGGAAAGCTAGACTACAGTATTGTTTCCATGGTCTACAGGGTTTGTTTCCAGTCTGCAGAGATTAAGGCCTGTCAGAGATTAAACAAAAATTGATTAAATGAAAAGATGTTGCAAATCTTCCTTCATCAGTGCATGTATTCACTCTTAAAGTGAATCTGAGCATAAATGCTGATCCCATTTGAGTGAGGTAAAAGTAATTGGTTTTTGTATTGGCCAGTTCTGTGTCTTGAAAGCTATTTTTTATATGTTTTTCCTAAGTAGAACTGAAGAACAGAGAAGGTCTGAATGAATTTCAAATATTGTTCCAATATGCTGCCCGCTATAACATACGGAAGAACTATAACATTAAAAAAGGAATGTACAAGCTATCTTCTCTTAGCCTGCTGGTAGAACTACCTGGAAATTTTTCTGATCAGCAAAAAATGCTCACTTGTTGGTCCAGCAAGTACGGACTAAAACATCTAGGATTCAATGGTGTGATTATTAGTTTTTGATGATTGTTATGGAGGTGCTTCCATAGTACACTGTATTCCCAGCAGACTATCTTAAGACCAGGAAAAATCTGATGCCTCCATTTCTCTTGGGCATAGAGAAGTCGGGTTTTCTGGAGGGGTCACTCATGGCAGGTTACGATGGAATGCTGTGACAGGGCTTCGAGAATCTCTGTTGTTGGGCCAGGAGTCTGAAACCTACAGGAACTCCAACTAGAGCAACAACATTTAGATTTTTGGACTGTTCCTTTTAAAAATCAAGCTTCCAATGTTCAGGATGCTTGGCAGTTGAGGAATGTGTCAGTTTTGGCAGATGGCTGCAAGGTGTGAACAGCACCTGTTTCTTTTGGAAACATGTTTTGGTGTTTCCAGATCAGCATGTCCATTTTATTTCGTCTTTGTCTGGTTTAAATTGGTTCCCCAAATGAGAATAATTCTTATGAACTAGAGTTCTGATCTTGGACCAGTTCTTCTAGTCAGTGGAGGAACTAGGAATTCCAACCATTTTCAGTTCTGTACCTGTCCTGTCTTTTTACTAGTCTTCCTCACAAAAGTGGAAAATTATGAATGGCTACAGGATCAGCCCAGGCTTGTTCAAAGACTTGGGTATCTTTAGCAAACTCTTCCTTCAAGACAGGTAGTTTCAAATTGGTAACAAACATTGGCCAGGGAGTTCTTGGTTTTAGGTTTTGTGTGAGCGTTCTGCAGTGGTTGATAACCATACATGTAGTGTTTACTTATTTAAAAGTTGGAGTTTTACAAGTTTAAAGCAAGGCTTGTTGAATAGGAGCAGAGAAAGTCTCTGCAGAGCAAAGGAGCATAGGAGCAGAGAAAATTTGACGCAACATTATTAAAGACTTATTATTTAATATTGTGAGAGTGATACAACAAACTTTCCAGTTTACTCTGTGAGCTATAAATGGGATATAAATGCAAGGAAGGGTGATGAGCTAAGAGAGGCCTATAGCTGAAGATAGGAATAGTTTGCTCATTGGTAAGTGTTAAGTCATTCCGGGTTGATGAAAGCAAATGCGAGAAGTTTACTATTTCATGAAACAAAAAAAAAAAGCAGTTTTTTATTTCATGAAACAAAAAATGATTTGTGTGTTTGTTCTGCTTTTTTTTTTTTTTTTTTCCCTTCTGTTGTAGGCTTATGAAATGAAACTGAGGAAGTCTGTCAATCCCTCTTCAGCCTTTTTATCTACCACATTGCATAGTTTGGATAAAGTCTTGCGTGGCGGAGTGCCCTGTGGATCCCTCACAGAGGTAACTTATTTAATATATTTTACTGCAGTTACACATCACACCTAGAAGTTAGAAGTCACAGACAGGTTGCGCTGTCTTGTGTCAGGTGCTTTAAACACAAAATAAACAAATATTTTGTATGAGAAGTGATTTTTTTTTTTTTTTTTTAATTGGTAGAGGCTGCACATTTGGTTGTTTTTTTTTAAGCAAAAAAATGAAGGAATTAAAGACATTGGTGACCCTCTATTCCTTTAAAAAAGTGAAAAATTTCCCAGGAAATCTAGGAGAGGTGTTGGCTGGATTTTACAGTGGGAAAGCTGCAGTGTGGTTTTGTGGCCAGAGCACAAGGTGGTAAGTCAGGAGTCTGTCCTTTTAATACTGACTGCCTCTGACTTTACCAAGTCATTAGTTTTCATGAAGGTGCAATAAGCAATTAGGAAAAAAAGTGTGAAGCATATAGACATGAGAATGACTTTACAGAGCTTTTATATATAAATGTAACTAATTTATGCAATAAATATGTAATACGTTCTTTTTAAAAATACTGTAATTAAGGCCTGTATTATATGCGTATACATTGCAACACTAGAAATTGCGTATCCATCTGTAACTCTGTCACTCTCTGGACTTTGGGTGCAGTGCTGCTTTTTTGCTTAGAATTTTCTTTCAAGAACAAAGAAGCACTTCATCTTCTAGTACCTGGATTTCTCTATCACCTTGCAGAAAGTAAATAGTAACTTGCAGAGTTTCTATAATCTGGAAAGACAGGGTTTGTGTGGAATCAGGACTTACAGGAGTCACTGAGTATTATAAAATTACCAAGATGCAATCTCTGGCCTAGGAATCTGATGAGCTACAAATGGAGACGGAGAAACATGCATATTGGAGGGAGTATCAATATATGTCTGTCCTGTTCTTATGTTATTCCTCTAGTCATCTGTTTTAGGCCCTTAGTAGAGACAGAATCCAGAGCTAGATGGATATTGGTTTTATGCACTGTGGCCATACTTGTCTTCTTAAAGTTCTGAATTCAGCTGTGTGCTTGAAATGAGTGGAAAAATATGTATTCTATGCCTCATGCTCTGAATTTAGACAGGTTGAAACCATTTTTTTCCTTGAACATTTCAACAGTCCTTACCAAGTGCTTTTATTTGTCTGCTTTGGCAAATTGCCACAGTAGACAAGTAGAAGTGAGAAGTTATGAAAATCTTACTATGAGTAAAATACATTTTTTCCACACCCTATAATCAAACTAGATTAGTTTTGATTTCAGAAAGCACTTATGAAATCCGATATTGACTTAAAACATATTAGTGTTTAAGCAACACTGAATTTAGACTATAACAGTTTCTGTTCTAGTAAACTCTTACGTAATGAGGGGATATTACTTTTTAAAGATTCTGAGCATTTCTTTCTGTATATTATGTACAGGAATATACACCAGTTATTCATAAAAATGTTTAGGAATGCATCCATGAACTTAGTGATCTGTCAGAATTATTATTTTCTTAATGTATAGGCCTAGCTTTGTTACCAATTTACTATAAAAAAAACTCTGATCAGACTAGCTTAACTTTAAAATTAATACTGCAAGTCTTTAAAATCTGGGAGAAGAGACTTGCTGAATTCTCTTTCACTGAAGAAGAAAGAGCTGTTCTTACAAGCAGCAGTGGGATATGCAGGTCCTGAGACTATAACTGTGCTGCTGTTGAGGATAGTGCCTTCAGCAGGGGATGAGTTATTGGTTCCTAAAAATGTTTTTCAGCAAAGCAATGTTCGCAGTAGGTGTAGTTTGACTCCTTTTCTTTTGGATTATTGCTCATGCAGCTCTGTGACAGAACAGCATAGCCTGTGCTTGGAAAGAAATGATGCTTGCTTGCAGCTAGGATCTGGCTTTCTGGGATTTCTGTCTGGTCCACTGACTTTTTCTTGGTGGAGGCAGAGAATGACTGTTCACATACTTATGCTGCTTGAACTTCTGTAGTTGAAATGTAGAGCTGCTGCTGCACAGGCAGGAGAAAGAAGTGGAACAGAGATGTATCTTTCTGGTGATACGTGGACTTGTTGTGTGGCTGGCTCATGAGTGGTGCCCAAAACACTTGTAGGTCAACGCAGATAACCCAGTCTATTTTGCCCTCCTTCCTGTGGCTTGGCAATTTTGAGTGAAAGATGGCTGTGTAAAAGTTTGCATGAAAGGATCCTGAAATATTTTTTTCCTAATTAAAAATAGTAAGTGGATGTGATCCTTTTGGGTTGGAAGAGCCACACGGTTTATTTACAAGGCTGCTGATAATGATGTGAATACTTGTCTTTTTTCTCAAGTGTAGCTATCATTCATCTATCAGTGCAGTCCATCTGATGTGTTCTTGCCTGGAGACCAGGTAGAATGGCTCTGGAGGACTGATTGACTTTAAGCTTGCTGAGTGTCATGTTCTTGGCATTGCTCCAGAGGGAAATCCAGGAGCAGCAGTGGTTGACATGCTGGGTGTTTTACTGGAGTTCAGATAACCTTTGATTTCTAGGTTTTGTGTCTTTGTTTGTTTTTCATGGTGGTGTTATTGTTTTTTTTTAATTTGAAAGTAAGTTCTGCAAGCAGTTGATCTCAAAACATGGATGTCAAATACAATTTTCCAGAGATTGTATAAAATTATGCTGTTCAGGAAGTAAATGCAAATGCTTAATTTTCCAGAGCTTTGTATTTTGTAATACTTCTCACCTTGGATGATTATCACAATACTAAATTTTTAATTTTTTCTCTTTTTTCAGTGTTTCTTTAAAACCTTTATCTCTTTAGATATGAGAAAAATCTGGGAAACTGTTACTAAACTCTGTTTTAAGAATGATCGTACTCCATGTGTATCAATGTATTTAAAGGTAGTTGGGGGAAATCCATATATTCAAAGATGGGCTGAACTTTTGTCTGGTTGTAAATGAAAAGCACTGCACCAGGAAGGGTGTTGCACTTCAAGTTTTCTTATGAAGAAATCTTTTGAATGTTAATTTTTTTGTGTTCTAACATATTTTGGTTAAAAATAGAGGCCTGCCTAACAGTTATCTTCAATAGGTGGTCTCAGTGAGTGACTTGAGATGTTGACATCTGTGCAAGACATCTAGTGAATGAGACCAGAACTGCGAGCACTACATCCTTCCCCCAGTTGCTTGGCCTTGATTGCATTCGCATGCCAGATTGACAATACTGCTGCATAATAACTATTTAATCAGAAATAGTATAGAGAGAACTAGGTAGACTCCAGAAATCAGATGATTAATTTAAGAGATTAGAGGTGTCTAAAAAAGAAAGTGTATTGGTTTTTATTTGCCTTTTAGGCACTAATGTGGAAAGTGATTAGGGCACGTATTGGGGGTTTCTCAGCAAACTTAAAGGCAGAGAACAATTAACTACACAGAAACTGAGATTTTCATTTAAAACCTGGTTCTGGAGATTTTTAAAAGCGTTTTTGCAAGAGTCATGAGATGTGAAGTAGTTTCAAAGGTTGGCAGCACTGCAAGTGTTCAGCGTGATTGTTAGATTAAATTTTAGTAGAAAGCTACCAAGTGTTTGCTGCTGCTTTGGTGCTCTACTGCAGCTTGTAGGTCACATTCTTTTTGGATTCAAGTGATTTTGGAGCTTAATAATTTTAACTTGCTCTTTTGCAGCTTACTGGAGCATAACTGACTAGCAGATTGCCCTTCAGTATTGTTGTTATTAGGCAGATATTCGAAGTCTGAGAGAAGTGTTTTTCAAAAGTATGTTGTGTGCTACATTTACTTCCTGACTGGTGTGGCTAAATCGTCGTCTTCCTGTTACTTTACCCAGCAGTGAGGGTGGTTGGAAACTTGGAATTTGAGTACATGAGCCACAGGGTTAAGACTTGTGGTGGTATCTCCTACAGCCAAAGCTGCTTGCTTTTTGAGTGCCAGAGGGATTTGATTTGTGTTACGCTGTCTCAGACCATTTTTTCCCAAACCACTATTAGGTTTTAAGTTGGAAATTAAATCACAGCTGAAATTTTGTGGTCAGATGTCAGAGATTTTGGCTAGCTCCTCTGAGGAAAAATTAAAGTAATGACTTTGTGAATATTGAAGAGTTTAATCCCCTGGTAGCTGAAGAAGAATTAGCTCCTTGTGACTTCATCCAAACCCTATAGATGTGCCAGAGAAAATAATATATAGTTTATTGAAAAATAAAAGTATATTTTATTAGACAGAGATAAATTAAAAACTGTTGTACTCTTCATATTTCTATCTGGGTGGACTTGATTTTTTCTTCAGAGTAAATTTAGAGTAAGAGAAACTAAGCAAACTTTTTGCAGACATTTGACTTAAATTATATTAGTGGTATTTTAGTGTTTTGTTTTTTTTTTTTTTTTAAACTAGATTTTATTGTTTGAAACACATGCTGAACCAATGGTAACTACAATAAGATGTGGTAGTTCTTTAAAATGGTTCACTGTGGATTAATTAAAATACCATTTTAATGCCCTCTAAAGGAATGCTGATAAAAGATGAAGTATTGTCTTTGGGAATAGAAATTCCCTCTTGCTTCCTTGTACTAGCTTGTACTACAAGATTCCCTGTCTTTCTCTGATATGATGCTCATATCCTCAGACATTTTTACAGCATCTCTGCTGAATTAGTTCCTGCATCAGCCACTGAAATAAATGTTGATTCCAGTGCACCTCCCAGGCAAGGCTGAAACTACAAATGTTTTTATGAGGTCTCCTCACAGTTGTCCAAACATTTTAATTTAACAACTGGATTGATGCCCTCCCCTCATTCATTTCAAGTTGTCTTTTTAACTAGAAACAGCTGGTGAGATTCCTTGGCTATCACAGTCTAAGGAATGTGTATTGCCTCTGCAATTTTTATATATGCTTTGGGTTCATATTATAATGTGGCAGCTATTGTTGATACGATATTTTGTAATTTAAGTACACTGGATGTAGGACAGATAATTGCATAAATATGACTGATTCCCGATCTGTAATTCACAAAATGCAGTGTGTGCTTCTAAACAAAAATCATCTAATGCTTCTCTTGCATTAAAGCTTCAAGTAGATTGACTGATATGGCTTGGTTTTCAGGCCGTGTTTACAGACAAAAGTGATTAAAGGGATTTTAACCAACTCTTGACAGTAGCTAATGTGTAACTAGCTACTGCAGTCCCTCAGTGCTGCCCTGTAAATTCTTTGTGCTTCAAGTCATGCTGCTGCTGCTGAAAACGAACCCATAGCAATACTGTAGTATCTTGTGGTGAAAGGGTGTTGTACTTAAAAACAAAATATTGTACATTCAGGCTCAAAAACCAGTTTGATTTTGAGTGTCTGTTGTAAGGTTTCTTTTTAAATTTTAAACAACAGCTTTGTATTTAAGCCTTTGTTTTGTCAATATTAGGTGTTTTTGAGGAGGTATGCTTAATTTTGCAGTTCAACTTCCCTGGAGAGGCTTACTTTAATCTTGCATTATTATTTAGTCATAATCAGAATGAACCCGTCACTGTCTGGTTTTACTGCTTAAAGTCACTTCAACTTTGTATTTGCCTTTTTTCAGCCCTCGTAGTATTTAAGATGACAGCATCTCCCTTCCCAGAAGCCATAACAATGTGATACTGTATTTGAAGAACTAGTGTAGTAATAATGATTATCTGAACACAGAGCCCAGCATTCATTTACAATCTCTGCAAGATCTGCAGTGGATAAAGAACAGCATACTGCCATCTCTAGAAGAAAAGTCTTGCTCTCAGAAACTGGGGATCTCATCAAACAGTGTATTGTTTTGATCCTTGTGTTTTTTTCATTGGATCAAAATCATTCCAGAACCTTTTCACACAAGTTGGGTGTGCTCTTTTGGAACACTGCTTAACTGTAGTAGGCTTTCAGTAAGTGCAGGTGAAAGCTTAAAATTTTCAAGCTGGTCTGGATCATGAAATGGTGTTCGTGTTGAAATATGGTAATAGGGAGTTAACACCAATGACAAAAAACATGCTGCATAGCAGAGTGTAGTCTCTGAGGCAGATAAAAATCTGTTTTATGTGTTTATCTGGTTCGTATTGAACATTCAGCCCTTACAGGATGTAAGTGATTCTCCTTGTGATTTCCAAGGGAAACCTGGTTGTAACCAAGGTAATGATGATTCCTAAGCAGTCATCTACATTTGTGAACTCCTTAGCTCTGGACTTTTTCAGATCTAAAGGCCGTTGATGTCGTGTGAATGTCAACTGTGAATCTCCTAATTCTGTTCTAGCACAGAGAAGAGGGATGAGGACTAGGTGTGGCTCTAGGGAAGATTTTATAAGAGGAGGAGGAGAGTAGGGGACCTCAAATATGAGAGGTAATAAAGGATGTCAAAGAAATAAACTGCAAGTATAATGCTGTGTCTGAAGAACTGTTTATTCTTCAGCGGATGAGTTTGGTTGCATGGCACAGATCCAACAGTAACTGCAAGTTGCTCTTTGTGGTGTGCATTCTATCTTTTTGTGGTTGTCTCCTCTTTTGGTAACTGGAAGAACAGAATTTATAGAGTTCTGGCTGATGGGTCTTAGGTAAAAGTAGAACTAGGGTGAAATGCATGTGACCTCTCTTGTTTATGTTACTAATCTTTTTTTCTTCCAGATAACTAGCCCACCAGGTTGTGGCAAAACTCAATTTTGTATTATGGTGAGTGTTCTGGCTACACTGCCTGTAGGCATGGGAGGACTAGATGGGGCTGTTATATACATTGACACAGAGTCTGCATTCAGTGCTGAAAGGTAAGATTAAAAATTCTAAAATACACACTTGGAACTTCTTTAGCACCTTTGATCTTGGAGAATTCAGTTATTTTCTGAGCAATAATTAAGTATTTATAAAGTAAATACCTATGGTAGTTTTTAAGCATTCATCTGATATATGTAGTTATTCCATAGATGATGAAATTAATTTAATAGAATGGTTTGCTCACCTTCCTAACTTTTATGATTTTGTAAATTCCAGTTGTGGTATGATGAGGTGGATGACATGCTCTCTAATTCATAGATGGTCTTAACAGTCCTGTACTTGAAAACTTTCTTTGCAGTTTAGTTTGTGGAGTTAGCAGGAAGGTTCTAAGGATGTAAAGGCCTAGCATTTTGAGTGCAAAGGAAATGGAGGTTTTTCTCTGAACTGGTAGGACACAGAAGTAGTTTTCCTTCAGGTTTCTGTCCTGTTTCTGCTGAGTGGGGCCCCTGCTCTCCTGCACTTCTGATTTCCTTCTGCAGTAACCTTGCATCTCTCCTATATCCTTAGTGGCCATACAGTACTGTATTTCCTTACGTATATAACATCACTGCTTCTTCTAATAGCTCCTGCTTCACTCTGGTCACCAAAAACTGCTCAGCTATGCACTTATGATACCTTCTAACTGCTGAATGGACAGGAGACACTATATGCTATGTATGCTTGAGAGTAACAGAAGTATGCATATGCACTTGTTGGTTACCACTCTTTCTGTGTTAACTGACTGATTAACTGTTGAAATAATTCTGCAGTATTCCATCAAAGGTTGTTCTAATTCACTTAGCTACCAATTTTTCTAAACCATGAGGATTTGGTGTTTTAGAGATGCCTATTTCTTTGTCATTGTTGTTTGGAAGTAGTGCTTTCAAAAGTTATTAAGGGTCTGAGGGAGGACAAGAAGTACAGTAGTCTCATCCTTGTCTGTGTAGAAAAGTGGGCAGAAAAAAAGTTCATTGGAATAATTTATATATTTCAGATACCTTAGTAGTTATACCCATGGCTTGAATTTGGAGTATCCAAAGCAAATGTATTTGCATTGTTTAATCATTTGAAGTTATCATGAATGAGAAGGTGGGATTACTAACCCTGTGTTTGTCAAGTTAATTTCACTAAAGTTTGAATAACTTTAAACTGGAAGTGTAATATATCAAAGAAAAAAAGCTTCAAGCAGTGGCTCGACAAAGTAGGGTGCTCCCTTCTTACATACCACTTAATTTTTATTTCAGGTTCCTGAAATGTAGATAGTAAAAAAGGGTAGGACCTAATAGGTGAGTTTAGCATTTGCTTCTAAGCAACAAGTCTTAAGAAAAGGAAAACAGGTGAATGTGAAAATGAAACTGCTGAAGATAGAGTAGGATGTAGAAAGAAAATGTGTTAAAAATAACATTATTACTAAGGATGAGAATATTTACGTATTAAATCATATTTAGTATTGCTCCGTTGGAAAACAGCTAAACACAATTTCATCAGAGAAGCTGTATCTTACACTTTGTGTTGCAATCTCTAAGGAGCGGCACCAGCAGCATGAGGGAGGTGCTCTTCCCCTTCTGCTTGTGACCTGGTAGAATACATCAAGATCCTCTTTCTAGTTTTGGGCTCTCTGTATGAGAAAGACACGACAAACTGCAGGGAGTTCAGCAGGCGACTATCAAGGTGGTTGGGGGCTGGAGCACTTGCCCTTTGTGGAGGCACTGAGGAGGCTCAGCCTAGAGGAGAGAAGGCTTTGGGGAACTAACAGCAGCCTTCCCCTACCAGTGAGAAGGCCATCAAGAAGGTGGCACGGTGTTGCATGGCAGGGAGACAGAAAGCATACATTGAAATCCATTTTTGTGCTGATATATGGAGAAGCTTTTTCACCATAAGGACAGTTAGGAATTGGAAAAAGTTGCCCCGAGAGATTATGCTGCCTCCATACCTGGGGGCTACCAAAATACGACTAGATAAAGCCTTGAGTAACTTGTTCTGACTTCATAGCTGGAACTACTTTGAACAGGATGTTGGCCTGGACATCTCCTGAATTCTCTTTCTAACCTGAATTTTCTTATGATTCTGTAATCCTGTATTTTTAATAGGTGGCAAGTAGGAGAAATTTTGGTTTTGTTGTTGTTCTAAACACTTCAGATAAGAGGGCAAATATCCATTTAATAGCAACTTATTTTAAAGGAGTTAATGGAGACATATAGCTGGCACTATAGCTGTAGACTCAAAAGTCTCTGCAGAAACCTTGAGTAGACTGTTTGTATCCCTGCTGCTTTTTAGGGCTGAGAGTTGATAAATTGTAGTGTCATATTGGCTATAATGCTTCTAGAAAGATACTGCATAAAGCTGGCTAATTTTATTTCTTTTACTGAAAGGCACTTCTCTTTTGTTATTCTGCTTGGCAGGGCGGATTTTGCTTCCACAAACTTTCATAGTCTTATTACTTATTCTCCAACATGACCCTTTGGTTCAATCTAATATCAGTGCTGAGAAGAGTCATCAGAATTGAGACTGGTTTTATAAGATATGCCACTGGTTTCTGTAATTTATGTTTTTTTTCTGTCATCTAAGAGAAAGCCCTAACAGTGTAGATGATGTCCATCATTCAGCTTTGTCAGAACGCAGACACTAGTAGAGGTAGATGGAATGCCCATAGTAAGTCTGGAAATCAAAATTGTTGTAATCGGTTTTGTAGCAATTCAATTCAACTCTAGCCAGTTATTAACTGAAAATATACCAGACTTACTTAGAAAATCTGAACATAATTTGTTTGGTTTGCTTTTCTCTCTAGCCATACCTATTGTTTGTGAAAAACACTACGTACAAATTTCTGTGAACCAAAGCTGAGAACAAATGGATTTTCTACCCCATGGGCCTCTGCCTTGATTGCAGAGAATATGCTCTGTGAAGTTTTTGGTCTCAACATGACAAACAGGATTTAGATCTTAAAGAAATTGGAATCTGCATGGAGCTCTGTGAATAATATTGTGGTCTCAGCAAGACTTTGGCATGTCATTTTAAGTCTGTGTAATGACGTTTGTTGCGATATGCATGTCCACTAGGAAGTGTACTGAAGTCTCATTTCATGCAGATCATTGGATGACAGATCACTGTTGCCCAAATGGTCTGCATGGTTAATTGTACAAATGGAAAGACAAGATTCTGTCTTGAAGTTCTGCAGGACAAGTTTAGATGTAATAAATAATGTGTCTAATGAATGAGATTGAGGCTACTGTACTGAAGTTGCTTGCTCAGAATAGGTATATTAACTTTCAAGGTTAATGTTTCTATTTCTAAACCAAATAAAACTGATTTAAAAGAATCTTTCTAAAACAGCTTTAACATTTTGGGTTTAAATGAAACGGACATAAATAAAAAGCAAGATAATCAGTAAGTTGTGCCCACAGGTATCATCCACTAGATGCCACTCTTCTCAAGCTATAGGCAGTGGGATATGTCTGTTTAAAACACGAACCATTAAGTATCTTCTGTTACTAAAAAATAAAATCTTCATTGTGGAAAAAAACCACAGTGCTCAGATTGTAACTATGAGTTTCTAAGTTAAATTCTTGGATCATTTAATTAAGGACCTAGATAAAATTGCCTTGTATTCAGAGGGGTGAAGCTTCTTTCCACTGACTTCCAAAGAATTTGCAGGCAGTCAGCATTTCTACAATGTATGCCATTTAGTGTCCTCAATGATTTTATGTATAAAATCTCATTTAACTGAAAATGTTAGCATCTCATCAGTAAGTTGTTCAGTTTTACATCTGTGCAAGAGGCTTTTGCAAAGCATAGTTGCTGAATATAAAAGTATTTTGACAACAAATAATAAATATCCAACTTCCTCTGACTTCTTTCGGTGTTATCACCAGTTATCTGATACACTTCCTTAGTCTACTCTGATAATAAACAGTGGTATGCTTAACAATTGTAATTCAAGGTTTTGAAGGGTCATGAATTTGCTAATAAGGTAATGGAGAACACTTAATCATGGAATCCCTCATTCATTTCTATCAGTGAAGCAGCCACTTAAACTGCTCAGTCATTTCATTATATCAAGTCATGCCAGTTGTACTTGTGCAGTCTGAATGGATGGATGGTCAGTTGTAGACACCTGGCAGCTGGAGCCTTGGTCATTTTGTGACACGATGCTGATATTTATTTATTTTTTACTATGTTCTAGAAAGTATATTTTCTGAAGGTTTAATAAGCTTTTTGTAAAAAGAGGTAACCACACAATGGAAATGTTTTCAGTAAAAAAGTCTCCTAGCCAAATGACCTTGTTCTTTTTTTCTGAGGAGAGATTACCTATGAAAAGATTTTTACTTTGGCTGGCATACTTTCTACACCTGTACTGCTTGTATGAGTACTTGCAGCTGAACTGGGCTCTGTTCTTTGCAGTCCAGCTTCAACGTTGGCTCCATCTTCTAACAGATTTTCTGTTTGGTATCAGCTTGTCAAATTTCTGTGGTGATCCAAGGTCCACTTTATGATTTCACTTCAAATTAAAGGTTGAAGATGGTTTGAGAGAGGAAGATGGTTTGAGTTGGAGAGTACATTTGTTTAAATGAAAATAATATTTAGATACAATAATTAAAATAGGAAAATGCTTGACCATTGAGTGGAACCTCTTGTACAAAACTCAAAGAACTTTGCATTCAGTAACTATGAACTTTGCAGTTTCCTTCTGCAGAGTAAATGCTGTTCCTTTGTGTACAGACACATTATGTCTTTCCCCAGTGTACCACTGACTCTAGAACCTGTTAGGAAGAAAACCGAACTGTTCTGACTTCTAGTATTTCAGTCTGACTGCAAAAGTATGCTTGTCCTTTGAAAAAGATTTCCAGTATTGGTATCTACTTATCATTCAGAGATTTGTTTTGTGAATAGTTGATGCTGCCTTATCCTACATTTTTCGTTTTGCAGTGTTATGCTTTCTATTTTTTTTGATAGGTTGATTGAGATAGCAGGAAGCAGATTCCCAGATTATTTTGACTCAGATGAAAAGCTGTTCTGCATGACCCGTAGCATTCACCTGTATCGAGAGCTGACTTGTGGCAGTGTACTGAAGAGGTATTATTTTCCAGCATTTAAAAAGAACAAAGACCATTTTGACTGGATTGTCTATAAGAGTATTTGTTTCATATCAAAGTTTTATGAAGTGTAATTCACTTATTTGAGGCCATTTCATGTTGATAAACAGCATGCTCTCCAACAGAGTAAGATTGCTACAGAAAGACTGACATTGCTCTTCTCATTTCATAACATCAGCTGGACTAGTCACATGCTACCTGAGCTTTGATAGGCAATTTCTATATTATCTGATCCCTGTAAGCCTTCAAAGGGAAGTGATCGTGTGACAGGTCTCGTCTTGGTTTGTGGAGAGACACCATACTGTAAGAGTTATGTTTTCCGTGAAACAGGAGTTTGCTCCTCCAAAGCACTTCCAGGAAGACTGGGACCCCTCCAGCAGAGGGAAGGAGGAATCTTTTAACAGTCATCAGCCTGAATGCTGTTGTTGGAAGTCTTGTATTGTCATGTTGTAACCTTATGGTAATTTGGGAACACATTTTCCGATGAAAATTAATTAAGTTGTATGTTAGCATCATGTGTATTTTATGTTAGTGGGAGAATTATTCTAAGAATAGTTTCTTCTTCTAGTGCAGCTTTATCAGAGAACAGCTAGTAGCATGTTACAAAGGGATTATGTTTGGCATACTGTCTTTGGAGGTATGCAGAAATGGATTCTGCGTATATAGACATGAGGGATTCTGATGTTGGACCTCTTTTGGAGAGGTCTTGCCTTGGGTTATGTGGCCCACTGGAGCTTCAGATTCCTTTTCAGATCTCTTCAATACATGCAGATGTTAGTGGAGATGGTGTGTGAGGGGGGAAAAAGAGGGACTGACTTCCAGCTTGTTACAGGAAACCTTTTATTTAAACAATTTCAGGGTTATAAAATGGTTCTATTGTGTAAATGATGTTATGAGTGACTGGGGTTTTTGTCTTTTTTTCTTTTTTAGGATTATGTCTTTGGAAGAAGAAATTATTTCAAAGAAAGTTAAACTCATAATAATGGATTCTGTTGCTTCAGTTGTCAGAAAGGAGTTTGACACAAAGCTCCAAGGCAACCTGGCAGAGAGAAGTAACTTTTTGGCTAGAGGAGCATCAGTGTTGAAGTATCTGGCAGAGGAGTTCTCAATACCAGTAAGTTCTTCCTCCTTTCTTAAGTTTTTGCTTTACAGTATCAAGTAATAAAATCTGAGAAGAATGCAAATGACAGGAAGATGAAAACCAGAACAAGCTGCTAGCAGGAATCTTCAAGAAGGTACCAGTTGTAAAAGAGTAGGGGAATGGAGGAATAGTAACTGTTCTGCTTGGTGTTTTTTTCTGTTGTAATTTTTTTTTTTTTTTTTAGGACTTCAAATAAGGGTTTACAAGATTCTCCAGCTGTGTTTCAGTGCTTTGTTCTCTATTTTTTTTTCCTTAACTATTCTATTTTATTTTTCTGCCATTAAATATTGCTTACCCTAATGGTTCTGTTCTAATGAAGTGTGCATTCTGACTAGGTGAAGATCTTTTTCTGCCTCTGTCCCATCTACTTAAGTTTATAAAATCTCAAAAGGCCTTATGCTCTGGAGCAGTGTAAATTCATTTTGTGACTGATAATGTATGTTAATTAATGCAGAAAAGAAGGTAACAGCTCAGCAAATTTGGACTTGCCCATAAAATACAAAGGAAGACACAGACACTCAGTGCAGGTACTGGTTGGAACTGATCGAAAAGTGCTTTAGAAGATGGAAGCTGCATAAATGTGTGTGTGTGTGTGTGTGTGTGTTCGTTCCTTTATTATATGATCCATGGAGAATGATACAAATTCAAAAGATGTGATTGAGACTCAACTCTTGTAAGTATTTCCTAGTATGGGTAAGCTGCTTGTCACTCCCAGTGTAAGAGAGAAACTGTGGCAAGAACTTGAGGAAGACTGGTGAGGCCTTTTCCCTCTAACGTTCCAGAGGTCACAGTAACTATCATACCAGAAGTACATGTCATAGGTGTGGAACTGGCTGACTTAGCTTAAAAGGGACGGATTTCCTTCTGCTTTGTAATTTCTAAAGACTTTTGATGGAAGTGCCTTCAAAGTTCAGGTACAAAAGATGGCGTCCTAGTTAGTGCACCCAATAATGTTTATAGTGCTTTAAAATGCCAGGAAATAATTGCGTGGAAGTATGTACCCTTATATTTTGGGAAAATATTACGCATCCCCTCGAAAAAGAGAAGTTCTATGGGAAGTTAGTATTTTTCTCTATTTCTCTATTTTCTACTACTTTAGACACCCCATGCTTCCCCCTGCACCTTCATTAAAGCTGGGCTGGATTGGAGCTTCTGACAGTTCAGGCTGCCTCCCTGCTTACAATCAGAGGGACAGTGTTGATATTCACAACAGTCTTAGAGTTAGATGACATGAAGTAGCCCAAGATTGGGATCCTAATTCATCCTGTGGAAGGAGGAAATACAGCTTGAATGTTTAAAAGTTTCCATTATGTTAAAGCCAATGTGTTTGCTTTGAGGCCTTTCTGATACCCAGTGTGCTGGTCTGGCTTGGTTTGTTCTGGGATTTGTTGTGATCTGGTCACAGCTCTGTCTTTTTCAATGGGTCTGTGAGATATTTTACCTTTTAAATATCTTTACAGATTTGTGGAATTACATGTAATTATACAGATTGAAAGCTTCTATATTTTTAAAGCACCTATTGATTAAGTTTATCAATTCATTCAATTGAAATACAACTGTATTTTCATTTATTGTCATTTTTAACACATATTGCTTGTGGGTTCGTTCTGGATTATTTTAAAGATCTGTTAAATTTTATGTTACAAAATAAACTGTAGTAACTCATATAAGTTAAGAATTCTAGGAGGGCCTTGGCTAGAGATTTGGCTTCTTGCAAACATGGATTCCCAGACAAGGCTGCATATGAGTAACATGCAAAATCCAACACCAGAGTGGGTTATGCATCCGCAAGTGTTGATGCACACTGGAAATAAGTTTGCTGTTGCACACACTGCATTAACCTCTGCAATTTGCAGTTAGAGATTACCCAAGGTTCTCATTGGAAATAACTGTGTTGGAATTATTTTAGATGTTTTCACTTACCTAGAAAATCATAAATATAAATTTGGGACTAAAAGATCCTTAGTAAGGCTGCAGAGTGATTTAGATCACTAATAAATTGGACATGTGAAACAATAGGTAACATTTATTTCCTGGCAGAATCAGTGCAACTAGATACTGAGTTGGGCAACAAGTAGGGAGACTCAGTCTGAGCCTGAAAAAGATTTGGAGTTGATGACTGATAGGACTTGAAGTCAGTTCTTTTGGCTGTAGTTAAAAGTGAAAAACTTTGAGTAGTTGAGCAGGGGAACTGGAATTAAGGAGGTTGCGTATTATCTATTTAGCTATAACTGTTACTGGAACGAACAGTACATCTGGTGTTAACACTCAAGGGAACACAGTAAAAAATCAGCTTCCAGAGAATAGCCTTGGAAATGACTGGGAGAGGGGGGGAGCAGTCTTAGTAATTAAGACTCAAGGTGCTTACTTTGTTTAGCTTAGCTAAGGAAATGTTAAAGGTTTCTTCATTAGTCAGTATGTACCTACTTGAGGAAGAGGTATTTGATAAAAGCAACCTTCTCTTCAGCTGACAAATGTACACTGCAGTTCTGTGCCTGGAAGCTGAATTAAGCAAGTTCAGACTTCAAATGAGAGGTGTGATCTTACTGGACTAATTAATCATTGGAATGCATTACTAAACATAAATAGCTTCTTGTCACTGAGTATTTTTAAATGTGCTTTTTTTTTCCCCCATTTCCTAAAAAGGAAATGGGTTCAAATAGGATTAAATTTGGGGAAACCCTGTACTACCCTGTTCAAATGAGTTTAACACCGTTCTTTCTGTTGGTGTTATAAACTCTCTAACTGTTTATAATAGTGTATTCAGGGTGTTAGGATATCGAGTTTGATGTGCAAAAGTGACTAGCATGCATAGCTCTTACTGAACTCAAGGGGAGCTGTTTCAAACCCAAGTAGCTCTATATAGTGTGAAGTATTTTTGGGAAAAAAGCTGACCTTAACTGCCTCAAAACTGATGGTCACTGTTCACTAACCTCTCTGCACCTCTATTTTCAGTTTGTAAAATGGGAGTAACAGAGCTGTTAGTTGTGAGGATGCTGAGAGGATAGGGTCATTCCTCTTGAGAAAGCACTCATACTGTGTCCATGAAAAATGTATTGATGCTCATTGGAAAGTAACATTTGCCATTCTCAGTGTAAAATTTAAATCGTGTAGTAAATGAAACCTTAATTCATCTTTTGAGATAAGAAAAAAAATATGAAACATACTCATTGAATGGCACCATCTTAGCCACTGCATCCAGGGAAGTGAAAGTGTTGTGTAATTGTAAATTTTTGCTTGACTTAATGGTTTTGGATTTTTTTTGTTTGTAAGGTACAAACACAAAGCTTTTTTTTCTTATGTATGGGCATTAGTAAAACATAAGTTGTTTCTTGAAAAGTGAAATATGGTGCTCAAGTTCCTTTTTTGATCACTTCTTCCACCTAATTTAGTATTAAGCCTGGTTCCACCCTAGGCTCTTTAAACCATGCCAGGGCAAGAGTCAGGACAAGATTTGGATCACTTCTGGTTTAGTGACAGGCCACGGGGCAGCCGTACTGATGTCTCAACAGTCACTGAAACTTCTTCCTCCATGGGGTACTATGTAGCAGTGCCCCTTTTTCCCCTTCCCTGCATACAGCTGCGACCAGAACCTACTTTTTTTCTGCCAGGTTTGGTTGAAACTAGCAAGTCAAATCAAAAGCGATTGCTAGAAACTATTTGACTATAAATCAATGAAAAAGCCCTTTATTTTTGAAATCCAGTGAATATGTAAAGCTGTATGAGAAGTTTACATTACTTTCATCTCTTTTAAAGCATGGTGTACTCGACAGAATTTGGATCTGAATGTTTTCTGTTATGTGTGTTGATGCTGTCTACCAGATTACATACATATTTAAGCATCAGTAATCAGTCCTATATGCTTCCTGTCTAGTTTCCTGACCTCCTTAGCCCTCTTAAAAAGAATAGAAAACAAAATACACTTTGGATTTTCTTTCTTCTCTTCTTCTGTAGTCATAGGAAACTATTTATTATTACTAATTGATATTCAGTAAAAGTAGTTTAGTGTCCATGCTGGTCGAGAGAGAAGTGATGTCTCCATTTCAGTGAGGAGCTGAAACTGCAAGCCAGTATGACTAGAATTGTTCTTGAGATTTAACTGTTTAGCTTATAAAAATTGTTATTTATAGAACCTGGTCTTCTAGTTGTTAGTACTTGAGAAAATCTGTGAAGCTGGCTAGACATCTCCATGGAAAAGCACTCTAAAAGTGACAGCAAAACCAAACTGCTTTAAGCATTCTTTTAAATGTCAAATTGAGACTGAAGATGAAATTTGCTTTGTAAATCCCCAAGGCTAATCAAATTACAACACTGTCTGTCCTTTATACTTTTGTCTGGGTTGTGTTCTTAGATCTCTGAAGTGCACCTTTGTTATTTATGATAAGCATGTTGGTTATCGTTACTACCAACAAATGTATAATAGTATCGTTCATTTTTTTTAATTTTAAATTGTTTTTTCTGAGAATATGAAATAGCTTAGGAGGAGAGACTTTCATCAATCATCTGTGATTTATAGTGCAAATGAAAGACAAACATTATGTAACTAATCTCTGTTTTTATTTGCTATACTAAATAAATTAACAGTAGTCAAGAAGGCCATAATTTCCACAAGTAATATTTTTTCCCCTTTAGATGCCACTTGCTCTATTTAAAAAACTAAAAATTCACTTTATCAGTATTGATAATATCACAGCAATTAAAGCTGTTATAGTCAATTTTTTTTTTCACACTCAGTTCTCACATTTTTTGTTTCAGTGCTTCAATACTCATGCATTCTGCTCTGTAAACTTTATACCCAGGATTTTCATTTGCTTTGGAAAGACAAATGTTTAACTAAATATCTATTTGTATATGTTTTTTCTTCTCAAAATCCATTTACATGCACTAATTGACATCTGCAGTGCCTTTTCTGCTGTCTTTGGTTAAGTGTGTTTAATTGTATCATCTCAGCTTCCTGCAGTAAAGTGTCTCAA